TTTGCAGGCCAGGAAACCACCGCAAATATGCTTGTTTGGACTATGATTCTACTAGGTCAATACAAGGATTGGCAGACACGTGCTAGAGAAGAAGTTTTACAAGTCTTCGGACATGAAAAACCAGATATTGATGGGTTGAATCACCTAAAAGTTGTAAGTTTTTTCATACTTGAGATTTACCGAAGCTATCTCTTCATTGAACATGTCAAGATCCATATTTGTTTTTTGTATCTTAATGATTCTTTTGCAGGTCAACATGATCTTCAATGAGGTTCTTAGACTATATCCGCCAGGAGTACTACTAAGACGATTGGTACATGAAGAAACCAAATTAAAAAACATAATCTTGCCGGCGGGAACCCTCATCCAACTAAACACGTTGCTTTTACACCACGACCAAGATATATGGGGTGAAGATGTGAACGAATTCAAGCCTGAAAGATTTTCCGAAGGTGTGTTAAAGGCGACCAAGGGGCAAGCGTCATATTTCCCATTTGGAGGTGGCCCACGTATATGTGTCGGACAGAATTTCGCGATGTTAGAAGCTAAAATGGCACTCGTTATGATTCTACAACACTTCTCTTTTGATCTATCTTCGTCATACACACATGCTCCACACACTATACTTACTCTAAAACCTCAATTTGGTGCTCACTTGATTTTACACAAACTTTAGAGAGTTTGTTGCATGTTATAGTTATTGTTTTATACTATGTTGTATTGTATTTCTATTGTTGCAACATATGTGTTACCCTTGTTATTATACTTCGAAATCAATGCTGCATAGGTAATGTCGAATATATTTATAAGAAATTGAGGCACAACTTTTAAATGTCAATAAAAAAATTCATCTTCTTATAACAATTTCAAGAATGTGTTGTATGGAATATTTTATGAAAATTACATTTTTTAGAACATATACATATTTACTTTTCATCACTACAAACACAAATGATGCTTCCTTTCGTATCGTAGATGGTCAGTCCAATGGGTTTGGATGTTCTGGACGGAGATTCAAAAAAATATCCCGACTTTATTTCCCTACCATCAATCAAAAATCTAAAAATTACACTCATTATTTCCCTACCTTTCTCGACCTTCAAATACAATGACCAAGTTTGTAGACTTTCATTTTTTTTAGTGTTAGTGTTGAGTTGGAGATGAAAACACCTTCATATGTATGTTTTTACTGTTTCATTGGAGATACCCAACACTAAAAACACCAAAAGTAACGGGCATTTGATACCAAAGAATAGTTCAATTCCAACCACACTTCATAAAAGAGAGAGCAGTGGGCAATTGGCAAAATCGGGCCGATCTGGTGTCTTCGTTCAAGAGACGGATTAAAAAAATAACATTAAAAGACAAAACTCTTGAATAAAAAAAGTGGACCCATTTTATACCATGTGAAATAGTTTTTTTTGTGTGATTACAATTTACTTTTAAATTCCCCAACTCCCTTATTTCGTTCTATCAATTTATTATAACGTTTATTAATTAAGAACTAAATATCCTCAATTTCAAAGAAATGGAGATCGAAAACTTATCAAACCAAAAACCAAATCTTGACATGACAAATCATTGTTCTCCATACTTCAATTACCCCATCCACATATCCAATTTTTTATTGAAGTTTTTTCTTTATAAGGAAAATAAAAAGGGATATGGGACACACAAGCAAAAAACCATCTTTATTTTTATATGTCAAATAACTCAGCTAAAAAGCTGATTGTAATTATATATGTTAGCAATTAAATAAGTCGTGCCGGTAAACATGTAAAACTTAGATTTTATTTGTTGACACATTCTATCACATAAAAATGATGGGCTCAAATAACACCTATATTTTTTAAGAGTCTCATACTCTTTTTTCTAAAACATGAATTTGGTCATCAAGTTCTTAAATAAAAAATTTAGAAAATTGGTTTTATAAAATAAGAATGAAATAGAAAATTTGTTTAGTTATGAATTGTATGGTTATGATTTAATATGAAAAGGAATTTTGGGTTGTACGAGATATGTGCAATCCAAGATGTCATAATCGAAGCCGGCTTCTTCTTCCTCTAAAACAAAAAAAAAAAAATTAAAAATGCACAAAAAAATTATATCTTTCACATGACATCTTTTTTTTATTCCCCAGTTTCCATCGTATTATTATATTTCAAATTAATAATAATTTATGTTGATTTCAACATATTTATATAATAATTTGTCAAATTTTTAAATATATTTTTTTTATTTACAAAGGATTCCCTTTAGTAATCTATTTGGTAAGGTCCAGATACTAACCAATGGAGATGGTTTTTGGAAGACATCAGTTAATTCTCGGTTACTTCTTTACGAGCATCGATCGGTGAAGTGACTCTTGACCCATGGGGAGAGGGAGATACGTTGGAATCGTTGGGTGTCAACATTCTCTACTGCAGGGCCTGGATGGAAAGACTCCCCATGCGTAGATTCGATATTTAGACTATTTATTCAGCATAGTAACTGAAACATCAATTTATATAATTATAAGCAACTTTATCAATACATACAACTTTATCCATGCAAGTATTAATAGAGAAAAAGGAATCAAACAACCCATTGGTATTAATTCATAAAATTTATTATATATGCATTTGTCATCATAGTTTGAATTTTCTTTTTGTCGTTTTGATTCCTTCTACTAACAACTGTTTAAGAAATTAATTGATAAAATAATCTCGTTTGATAAAAAACTGTTTAAGGCTATCTTCAATGTTTGAACTTGACACCTACGTGTCATTTAACTTGTAAACTCATCGTGTACAACTTTTTGCTGTTCCTCTTCTTTTATGGGAGAAAGGGAAAATTCGTATCCCTCGACCTTTTGGTTTCACAATTTTTATTTTAGGATCAACTTTCAAAAATTCATATTTTGGAGATCCAAAATGGAACCATTTTTTTCTTTGAGATATGAATTTGGTCATCAAGTCTCTAAATCTAAAATTTGTTTTATAAATTAAGAATGAAATTAAAGTTTTGTTTTACTTTAATATATCAAACCATTTATTTATGTTATCTTTTATTTACTGTTCTAAAAAGCTCACTACAACGATCACTATAGTGTGCTGTGGCTCAAATCTCATCTTTGTCACGTTAAACTTATTGTACGCCACAGTTCGATGCACGATTCTATAAGGTACTATTTGGTTATTATTTTTGCTTTTTGGTTTATTCTGATTCTATAAGGTGCTATTTAATTTTCTTTTTTGCTTTTCGATTTATTTTTATCTTAATAATGTTTTATTCTTAGGTTTTAGTATATAATAAATGAATACTAATTTTGTAAAACCCCTATCATTATTTTAATATGGTTTTTTAATAAATTACTTATCAAATTATAAATTGTTTTTGGATCAATCAAATCTGACCTGGCCATTTTGACTTGTTTCTAAAATTTAGAATCTTTAATTGGAAACTATTTTGATTCATTAGTTTTTATGTTACCAACTAGTACCATTTTGAACTACAAGGGTGGTGTCTGATTGATTTGAGTTTGACTTCAAAAATCAAAAGTACTAAAAAGTCTCAAGTTCAAATCATTAAAGAATAAAAATCCTCTTTGACCTTTCATATATTTTGGCCATAGTCATATTGTGGCATCACTTGAAAAAATTTATGGGCCTGTCTTTTTTGACCAAGGGTCAAATCTGAGGACAGGTGACAAGCTACATGCCACAGGCGGTCATGAGATGTTAAAATGGCATCTCAAATGTTTATTGACACGTGACGATCTTAGTATTTAGATAGTCAGTTGTTACGATTATTATCCTAGTTTTTCGTTGTTATTGTTATGGATTTTTCACCGAAACACTTTACGTTTTCAAACTACAAACAAAATGCTATATCTTATTATTGTTTCTGATCGGAGGATCATGTTAAACCATTAACTACTGACACGATCCTTAAAACATGAACAATAATAAATTAAGGTGTTTCTTTTTGTTATTTTGAAAAGACAATGATAATAAAATGTAGTGTCTTAAATAGAATGGAAAATAATGAAAATATCTTAAGTAAATGTTAGGGGTAATCAATCATAAAAGCCGATTCTTGTAGGAATAGTATAATGGATTGAGTATTGCACGTACGCAGTATTCTAAGAAAAAAATCCGTTGGTATAACGTGCTTCTAGAGGATATAACAATTAATTCAAGATTATACTTGAAATGTAGAGAATCAAACTTATGTTTGGGATGAAATAAATAGAAGAAACACAGAAAATGCAGAGGAAAAAAATTAAAAGAGAGTTTGCTATGGAGAATTCAGGCTTTTAAACGTTTTTGTCATAACCGAACACGAGTGCCACCTCTAGATCAAACTTTGAGACCCCAAGAGGACTATAAAGAACCCAATACCTTATTTTTGACGTTTGATATGTAAATGTTATTTCAAAACCCAATCAAACAGACGTCATTTATATCTACTGGTCTTTAAATAGAGACTTAAGATCAAAGATTAAAATAAAAATAAATTTTTATTTATTGTAATTAACATATGGATTTATGAATCAATATAAAAACGAAAATTATATTTTTATGAATTAAAATAATATAAATTTCTTTCCAAATGCCAAATACACAGAGAAAGGACAAGAAAAACACCGGTCTTCTAGAACATGTTTTCAATAATAAATTTTTAATTGTATTAAATATTTTGATAATATAACTACGATGTAATCTTTAAATTGAATAAAATGTTAAAGTTGATATAACTTTTTTCCTTTTTATTTTGACTTTTAATTCCCCTATTTTTTTTAAAAAAATTCGGAAGATATATCGAAATTGGCATTAAATACAATTTCATTAGTATTTTTCTTTTTATTCATGTGGAGGACTTGGAATGAAGACGATAAAACCAGAGGGTGCGTAACCATCAACTACTGAAACCATATGGTGGTAAACTGAACATTATCCATCAATAAAAGTAGTCATTCATTCTCCTGCTCGTCACCACCATTTTCACGAGCGATGGCCATGGAACCGGCAACGGCGGTTGTTTGTGTTGTTGGAGTAGCATCGGCGTTGGCGTTATATATATTGAATTTGTTGTGGCTAAAACCAAAAAAGATCGAGAAGTCTCTAAGAGATCAAGGACTAAAAGGTACTCCATATCGACTGGTATTCGGAGATTTGAAAGAGATGGAGGAGATGATAATTGAAGCCAAGTCTAAACCGATGAGGAGTCTAACTGATCATCATATCGCTCCTCGTGTCTTCCCCTTCATCCATAAGTCCATCGCTGCTCATGGTACGTGTGTGTGTGTATATATATATATATGTGTGTGTAAGGCTGTAAACGAACCGAACGTTCAGCGAAAAGATTCGTGAACCGTTCGGCGGGAAGTTCGTTTATGTTCGTTTATTTAATAAATGAACGAACATGAACAAATTTTTTTGTTCGTTTAGTTAAACGAACGAACATGAACAAGAGTCTCGTTCGTTCATTTATGTTCGTTTATATATTAAATTTAATATATAATCTTTTATTTATTTACTTTGAATTCAAATAATATTTATTTATGTTCGTTTAACTCGTTCTTTTAGCTCGTTCGTTTATGTTCGTTCGTTTAGCATGTTAATGAACGAACATAAACGAACACGAACACACCTGATTTGGATACGGTGGCACCATATACAACGGTTGCACCTTCCACGAACTTAAATTTTTTTTACCTTATCACGGAGGAACAATACGGTGGCACGTGCCACCTAACCACCCCTCTAGGTCCGTCTATGTATTGGATACGTTGTTAACACCTCTTATGCAGTCATGTTTTGGATTGTTGGAAATTCAATTCATGCTTAAAATCAAGCATTTTTTCTTTGGTTTCTGGTTATATATATATATATATATATATATATATATATATATATATATATTCAGGTAAGACTTGTTTTACATGGATGGGGAGAAGACCTCTGGTGCACATATCTGACCCGCTCATGATACGGGAGGTCTTGGCTAATAATTATCAATTTCAAAAACAAAGAGGAGGGAACCCGTTGACGAAGTTGCTAGCAAGAGGGTTGGTCGACGTTGAAGCTGATCAATGGGCTAAACATAGAAAAATCATCAATCCGGCTTTCCATGTTGAGAAGCTCAAGGTTTCTTGCCCAACCTTTTTGCTCTTTAATTTACGTTAGTTATTTCTCTAAAAACGTCGTTCCGATACGCTCAATTGTATCTTTTTTGTTAGCAAATGGTACCTGCATTTTATGTGAGTTGCAGTGAGATGATTCAGAAATGGGAAGAAATGGTAACGAAAGAAAGCTCGTGTGAAGTGGATGTATGGCCTCATCTTCAAACGCTTGCGGCAGATGTAATTTCACGTACATCATTTGGTAGTAGTTTTGAGGAAGGAAGAAAGATATTTGAGCTTCAAAAAGAACTTGGGGAGTTCGTTATTGAAGCTATAATGTCAGTTTATATTCCAGGATCAAAGTGAGTTTTGTCTTTTTTAAGAACATTTTAAACTAATTTCTTTTTATAAACAAACAATAAAAGCAAAAAAAAATGCAACTTTTTAACTAATGCACTATTTCACTTATATTTTAACTGGCAAAATCATTAGTTTATTTACGATTCAATAGGTTTTTGCCAACAAAAAGCAATATAAGGATGAAAGAGATCGATGAGGAAGTGAAGGCTAAGATAAAGGGCATAATCAATAAACGAGTTGTTGCTATGAAGAACGGGGAAAGCATCAATGATGATCTCCTAGGCATTCTTTTAGATTCCAATTACAAAGAAATTAAACAACACGAGAATAGCAATTTTGGATTAAGCATTGAGGAAGTCGTTGAAGAATGCAAGCTTTTCTATTTAGCTGGGCAGGTGACCACAGGAAATATGCTTGTTTGGACTATGATTTTACTAGGTCAATACAAGGACTGGCAGACACGTGCTAGAGAGGAAATTTTACAAGTCTTTGGAGGGAAAAGACCGGATATTGACGGATTGAATCACTTAAAAGTTGTAAGTTTTTCCATATTCCAAATGTACCATAACTATCTACATGTAGAATATGTCGAAATACTTCCTCATTTATTTTGTATCTTAATTTTTTCTTTTACAGATCAACATGATTTTTAATGAGGTTCTTAGATTGTATCCGCCACTTGGATTTCTAAGACGACTAATACATGAAGAAACAAAATTAAGAAACATAATCTTGCCGGCAGGAACCCTCCTCAACCTAAACACGCTATTTTTACACCACGACCAAGATATATGGGGTGAAGATGTGAACGAGTTCAAACCCGAAAGATTTTCCGAAGGTGTGCTAAAGGCGACCAAAGGACAAGCGTCCTATGTCCCGTTTGGGGGTGGACCACGTATATGTATCGGACAAAATTTTGCTATGCTAGAAGCTAAAATGGCGTTCGCAATGATTCTACAATGCTTCTCTTTCGATATATCTCCATTGTACTCGCATGCTCCGCATAATATACTTACTCTAGAACCTCAATTTGGCGCTCAATTAATTTTACACAAACTTTAGGGAGTTTTTAGGAAGTTTGTTGTTTGTTTTACTTTTTAAAAGTATGTTGTATTATATTTCTATTGTTGTGATGATGTATATCCAGTTTAACATATCTATTACTCATGTTATTATATATGGTAAATTACCTTCCACATGCTGTTTGAAATGTATTTCCAAGAAAGTGACAACCAAGTTCTTAAATGTCAATAATTAATATCTCCCTATCTCATAATATTTTAATAGTATATTGTTTAGAATATTTTATGAAAGTCGCATTTGTTAAAAACAAATATATATATATATATATATATATATATATATATAGAGAGAGAGAGAGAGAGTATGTGAGAGGTAGAACGATAACTAAATAAGAGAATAAGAAAACATATGAATTATATGTGATTTTACATTAAAATCACATGTAATTCACACGACTTTGACCCCGACCTGGGATCATGGACATGTCACTCACACACCCCTGCGTTGACTATTAATATAAAATCATATGTGATTTTGCACATGATTTGAACGTTTTCATGTTCTCTTATTTTGTCATTATTTTTGTTTGAAACTCCCTCTCCTCCCCTCCTTCTCTCTCTCTCTCTCTCTATATATATATATATAGAGAGAGAGAGAGAGAGAAAGAGAGTGTGTGTGTGTGGGAGAGAGGGGAGGAAGAGGATCATGTGAAAGGTGAATAGTTTTTAGAGGGAGAGAGGGAATATGGACCACATACCTTATTTAATAAAAAATTACATAAAATATTATTAAATTAAATTAAATTAAAAAGGATATGATTGTCATTTTGTGTATAACATTATTTGTAACCGTGAGAATAATTCCTATAAATCACGATTGAGTTTGTTTTCCAAACTGATTTATAATAATCTCTAATCAACCGCTTTCATTACAAAGATAAATATATAACAGGTTGATTATAAGTGTTATCACATATGACAACTTGTTCGATGGTTGTATTTATCATATGTGATTATCTATTTTACATTTATTAATCTTATTGTGGTGCAAATTTTATCACATGTGATAAAACGTCATTTTTACTCAAGCATCTATTATAACAAGTGATATGTACAAAAGTTCACAGAGTGAATCATATGTGACACGTAATACATTATATGATAAATTTAACTAATCATATGAAATTTTAAACGTGTATCCAGAATAAAGAGAAATAATGGTGAAAAGACAATTGATTAGTTTGTGGATATCACATGTAATATTTGATGAAAATAGTGGACAAAATCATATCAGAAGTGTATAAAAAAATAGTGAAAAACATCATATAAAACTTAATAAAAATGGTAACTATCCTGATTTCTAAGACTATTTTCTATTTTTTATTTGTGACATTCTTCGATGGATTATGTTAAGGTGTGCAAAACCAGAATGGTCAAAGAACTATCCGAACCGAAAATGTTGTGTTTGTGCAAAACCGGAAATTTGAAATCCGAAACCCGACTTTCAAGGGGATATTTGGATTTAGGTTGGGCTTGATTTTTGATCATCCAAACCATTTGAAAACATATGTATAACCATTATTTTGTCTTGAAAAATATGCGTTTAATGGTAATATCATATGAAGTCTGCTTTTGATCTTCTTGTTATGTGCACCTTTTTGCATGAAGATCTTATTTGAAATTGTTGGTTGTTACATCTTGTATTGTTAGAAGAGTATATATTTTGGTCCAATCTTGTACGTCATTGTAAAAAGATTAAAAACTTATTATGTATTGGTTAGATAAATGGTTGTTGGAGGGTTGAATTTGTACAAAAGTAAACCTGTTGGACTACACATGATAATTGCAGATTTATAAAGGTTGCTGGAAGATATGTGGTAAAAGTCATCTTGAAAGAGGGGTAAACATCTAAAGCGTGCGTCTTGGTGTCAATGGATCATGTTGTTTAATTGGTGGTGTGTTTGCTGTCCAGACATTATATGATAGAATAATTGTTTAACGTTTGTTAAAATAAAATAGAACAGAACAAGTAAAATAATCAATTTACTTCTGATGAGTTGTTTAATTTAATTAATTTATGTAATTTATTAAATTATAATAGAATAATTATTTTTTATAACAAAATATATCATTTGAAGTTTTCGTCAAAACAATTAAAATGACACCAAATAAAAAGTTTATGTAGTTTTCTATTTTTATTTTTATCTCTTTTCTACACTATTATTTTATTACTAATATATAATAAATTACATAAATTAATAAAAATATAGAAACCATATAAAAATAATATTTTGAGGACAGTAAAATGAACGTTTAAGAAACATAAAAAACAATAAATAAAATTTAAAGAATGAATAAAATGTAAAAAAAAAGACCTATTTAATGTTTTAAAAGAGAATTAAGTTTTATTTTGAGCTTATATTGGTAAAATATAAGTCTGTTCCACATAAAATTCATGTCAAACATGGGACAAGAATCTCTGACATGTTCTATCATGTCCTTGTCCAGTGTACCAAACGCACCCCAAAAAATTAAAAAATTATCTCTTATATATACTTCTTAGGTTAGCATGTGATTGTCATCAAGCATATTTCATATAGTTCATTGTTCTCATTTTTTATTTGGAGATCTAAAATAAGGACTGACATAAAATTTTAGATATTTAGAGCTATTATATCGTGATGAATTAATCAAATCAAACATACATCATATCGTGTATTGTGTAAATTAGTTTTCCAAAATTAATATTTCGACCTTATGAAAGCTCTGAGTTGTACCGAAAGTTTATATTAAGATATATATAAAAACGCATTATGTTCTTTGGCCAAAAAAATAATATTTCGACCCTATGAAAGCTCCGAGTTACTCGTGGTGTCAGTAAAGCTCAAGCATTAGAGTTCGGCATTAATTCCAGACACTAAAGCTAAACGCAACAAATTTTGCGTCAACGCCATATAGGTTACACATCGTTGCCCCTAGAGCAAGGGGGCGACCCCCATCCCATACAATGCCATCCAGTGATTTCAAATTCAAATTAGCTTATACAAGTGTGAACTACGAACCTCCTAACCTGTAACTAAAATTCCATCATTCTATTATAAATCTCAATTACACCAAATGGCCGATCAAATTAAAATCATCAACATAAAACACCTTAATATTTGATGTATATATTTATGATAAAAATAAAAATGATAGATATTTTCTAATGACTTCAAAAATTTGTATACTTTTTCATGACATACATTAATGTCATAGATGTGTGATTCATACAAAAGAAAAACAATGGTTTTTTAGAACATCGTTTTCACATTACCAATCTAGAGTTTTTTAGGAAAAATATTAATCTAATATTTGTTTTTTTTAAATATTATTTAAAGGTAGCCATTGACTCCGCAACTTGACTCTGCAAATCTCAACAACCTTTGCAGATTTTACTAAAAGATCAAAAAAGTGATTTCGCAAATTTGGTAAATAAATTTGCGAAATTCTTGGCTATGTTTGTGGTTGTTAAAAAAATGGTTAGTTAATGATCATGGCATTGTGGATATTTAAACACAAAACTGGAGTTCAATTTATCGTAACTCCTTTATATGATTTTGTAGAATGATAATCTTTTTAAGCCACTTAGTGGTGGTAATGATAATGGGTGAATTTGTTGAACTAGGTAAAATAGTTGGCTGAACTAGGTCATATCCGGGTTTACATGTGCTGATGTGCATTTAAGGGCCGCAGGCATGCGCCCGCCCGCATGCGGGCTGAGAATGACGGGACCACGACTACAAAGTTGGGCGAAGATCGAGAGTTGGCCTTGACTGCAAGTGGGCTTGGAACGTATTTTGGGTATGATGCAGATGGGTCGGGTAAAACTAGGTCATATTGGGGGAGATTTGATGAGAAATTGAGAATATAGTTTGAAGTTTTGAGCGATTTACTATAATAAAATTGACTTTATAGAACGTTTAGATTGTCTAAATGTCCTAATAAAATATTTTATAAAACTTAAGTTTATAGGATCAAACTATAAAACGTCCTATCTAAAAGCGTTGCAATAGGTTTATAGGATGTTTTTAGGCATTTTAACAAGTTTTTTATGACGCTTTTAAGATGAAGTGTCCTATTTGCTACTTTATAGATTACTTTTGCGAAGTGTCCTCTAAGCCTATCTTTTTATAGCACATTTGTATTTATAAGACAATTTTACAAATAGTATCCTATAAATTAGTTAATACGACACTTTATCTCAAAAGTGTTCTAAAAAACTTTTTAACACATCTACTTAAAACTCTTAAACTGATTAGTTTTATTGAAATAATCTTCAATTCTTCACCCTCATTTTTTTATTGGTTAACATTTTCTGAAATCAAAATAAATTGTTGGTAAACGTTTTTTATCTGGTAACTGTAAAAGTCTTCTCTCTCACAAACTAAATAAGATTTTAATGTTTGATATATTTTTTACTGAATAAAATTACCGGTCTTTATCACACTTACCAATAAAGTAAGTTACATTCAGTTAACACGTACCTCGTAAACATGTGTGTGCAAGCTGCCTTTCACACTCGTGATTAAAAAAAAATGTTTTATTAAACAAAATGAAATCATTAACTTTAATCATAGTTTTCTGGAACAATATTTATATATTAATTATTTTATCTACTTCAAAAAAGTGTTCATATTAATCTAATCATAAAATATACAAACTTTAACTCCAACTATTTTGACTTCTTGTTCAACAATTCCATTTTACCATCTATGTATAGTTCTATATCACGTATGAATCTAAAGGGGTGTTTGGTTTTTGGAATTTGGTGGAATTAGAATGTCCAAATCTTTGACCAAATTTCAAATACCATGTTTGGTTCACAGAATCGATGTGAAGGAATCATTCTAATTCCAATTAAGTCACCGATTTCACAATTCCACCGCATATACCACGGATTTCAAATTCCTTAGCCCTCATCCAAATTCATCGATGTTGTATCTCGATTTGTTCTGCTTTGCTATGCTCGATCTCGTTTAAAACTAGGAATGGCAACGGGCCAGGTTCGGGCCGGTTATTGTTATCTCCGTCCCCGAAACCGATAACTAAAACCATCCTCGTGACCGCCCCGATCCCCGTCGGGGATCTTATCGGGGATCCCCATCGGGTC